AGAACCAGCGCTCCCGCCATCAATAACACTCCCTCAGCAGCTCTAAAGGCGAGTGAGCTTCAGTAATAATTAATTGTTCATGTTTAATAATTAGGTTAGTTGTCCTGTGGGTGTGTGCACTAATGAAATCATCACTCACAGCGAATAAACAAAGCCAAAGCGGCGCTCTGAACACAGCTTTCTGCATTTCTGCATCTCATCTGCTGAATCCATCACAGACGCTGACTATGAAGAGTAAAGTAAAGCAGGATCCCCGGGACAAGCGGAGGTTCTGGCTGTAGGACGTCTGCTGGAGTTTAACATCAGAAATATTCGATTCTTATACAAATACGGCTGTTATAAAATCAGAACGCCTGTTATTATTTACATCCAGCTGTTGTGACATCAGAACGTCTGCTTATATGTGTTATTTTGCATCTGCAGACTCTGGAATGACAGTAAAACAGTCTAACTAAAATATAAATCAGTTCATTAACACAAAATAAATACAAGATTTGAAATACGCAATAATAAACTGACTGCATTTCTAAAACATTATCAATCCACCGTAAACCAGTGCTATAGCTATAATTACATTCTGTGTGGATGTCTGCATGTCAACACGTCTCATTAGTGTTAGTGTGAAGTTTGCTATAGTCAGTAGAACTGCTGCAGGGGCATTAATAAATAACGTCTGAGCAGATATTAAATGGGTCATGAACTACTTACAGTTTTTAGGGCCACTTTCAGTGTCACACAGATTCTTCCATCCTCAAACGTCGTCATTTTGGAGATATTTAAAGGATTGTTTGCTTTTGACTCTCATTAGAATGCTCAGTTTGAGTGGGTGTGGCCAATTGTAGTCTCGGAAGTAAACGCCCACTTCTCTGATTGGCTGACTGTTTTAATTAACATAGCTTAACACGGGGAATAAAAGTGGGCGTCGGTCTTCTATGGAGGCGGGGCTTATCCACCATATTCTCTATTCCAACAGTCCAGAACTTGTGGCTTTGCCATTTTTGCAAATGTGAAATACGTTAAAGATACGTTTTGTTGTATGTTTCAGATGATGAATCCACTAGAGGGCACTGTCTACATATTTGCAAATCTGTAATACATTACTTAGGGTACATTTTATTGTACGTTTCAGATGTCAAATCCACTAGAGGGTGCTGTCTGCACTATCGTGTACAAAGACATCACCTACGATATGTTTTGTTGGCATTGACAGTAAACGCCCACTGCTCTGATTGGCTGACTGTTTTGCATATTAACAGCCTTAACAGATGCACTAGAAGTGGGTGTTATTATTTGTGAAGGCGGGGCATATCCAAACTATTACATCATAGAACAGAACATTCCAGAACTTGTGGTTTTTCCTTCAATAAAAGCTGATTTTAGAGGAACCACAAAGAGTTCTGAGACTGAGTGTATAACCGTATGAGCTCTATCCGTTTGTTCTCTTCTAGAAGGTCCACTTTAAATGTTTTCAAGATTTTAATATCCAAAATAACATCTTCATTTAGAAGCAATTGACCATTGGAGCCTCATTAGAATACTCTGCTTGAGTGGGGGTGGCTAGTTATAGACATTAAAGTAAAAGTGGGCGTCGGTCTTCTATTGAGGCGGGGCTGATCCGCTATATTTCCCATTCCTACATTCCAGAACTTGTGGTTTTGATATTTTCGCTAATCTGAAATACATTTGGGTATGTTTTGTTGTACGTTTCATATGATAAATCCACTAGAGGGCGCTGTCTACATTATTGTGAATGCAAAATACATTACTCAGGGTATACTTTATTATATTTTCCAGGTTAGAAATCCACTGGAGGGCGCTGTCTGCCCTGTTGTCTAACAAAGACATCAGTTAAGGTATGTTTATTCAGTACATCTCAGATGACAACAACAACAAAGAGTTCTGAAATGTACATGATGCTTTTGAAGCATTATGAGCTTTTAAAGATCATTTTGAGGTCCATTTTTAATGTTTTGAAGAGTTTTACTTCGGAAAAGCATCACGTTTTAGAGGTAGACGACTATTGTCTGTTTCTGACGCTCATCAGAACGCTGTTTGATTGGGTGTGGTCAATTGTAGCCTCAGAAGTAAACGCCCACTTGCTTGATTGGCTGAGAGTTTTGCATTTGAACAGAGCTTAACAGAAAGTAGAAGTGGGTGTCAATCTTCTGTGGAGGCGGGGTTCATCTAAACTATGACATCATAGATAAAAACATTCTTAGAAGCTGTGGATTTTCCTTCAATATAATCTGATTTTAGAGGAACTACAAAGTGTTGAGATCTGAAACTCGCAGGATGTGTTCATACACTATGAGCTGTAATATGCCGGAAGTTTAAGAGAGTGTTGATTCCGCAGTTCATGACCCCTTTAAGCAGTCTGTGTACTATATATAATCTAATAAACACTAGTTGATGGATTTGCAAAGTTAGTTAGTGGAATTTCTAAAGTGAACCATTGAATTAATTAAATATAAGATGTATCAGAATGGCCTGAATTGAAGCTTGAAACAATATCTCATATCCTCAGGCCTACTAAAATACTCAAGCAGTAAGAACAGGTTTAGGGTGTGTAGATCAGATTTCTGTCAATTCTGTTAATCTTTACACAACATCAGTCTTTACTGCCCGCCAGTGGACTCGATTATTGTCAAACCAATGAACTTTACACTGCATATAAAATAATCATGACGATAATAATCATACAGTGAGGCACACAGCTACGCTTAAACATACGGCGATCGTTATGCTCTCGAGTTTACGATCACTGCTTTATTTCTCCATGCGGATCGAGTCCCGCCAGCTGAAATATTAGCCAGTTTTATTACTACTCCTGGTGGGAAGGAGGGCGATGATGGACAAACCAAAACCATGATCCGATGACACAGTGAAAGGAAAAGAGTGAATATCTGTTCTTTCATTGCTACCTTGATACCAATGGGAATTTGTGTGGTCAGTATAAGCAAACAGAATTGAAATAGGAAACGAAATCCAGGGCAAACCAAAGTAGAAGACAATTAGAATGATATCTACCATATAATGCAGTTTGTTTACCATAGCGTGTCCAATGCCTGAGTGCTTTAGGAAAAAACAAGGGAGGGGAAAGAAAAATATATAGAATAATGACAAATCCTGAAGTTTAAAGTGTGTTTTATTTTCTGTAAAGCGGCGGTCTTAAACCAGCCTTTGGGTTTCTGTCCCTAATTTGGTTCTCTTTTAAATAATAGTAGTCTTCGTAAGATTTGTCAACCAAAAGAAAAACATGACAACAGTATTGTTATTATGGTTAGTAGGTCAGTTAATTCAGAAAACAACAGATGGCCCACATTCCGTGAATGACACAATGTTAGTCGATTCAAAGGAACATAAACACGAAAAACCCAAATCAAACTGTAAGAATCGAAGCTGTTTGGTTAGTAATTAGACACAAGAGTTAGCGAGAGACCATTCTCCACATGAAGAGGGAAACATGGAGAGAGAGAGAGAGAGAGATTGGGGGAGGGGTTTGTTTGAGGGGGAGGGAAAAGCAGTATTAGTGATCTTTCTGATTGGCTAGTCCTGCGAGTGGGTGTGGCCTAAACTGTGAATGGGGCTTTAAAGGCAAAATTGGCCAAACGTGGTTTTTGAAGGAAAGCGAGAAACATCTGGTCTCTGCTGATGACTAAAGGGAGGCAAAAACACAATGAGGTTAAACAACATATTGCAGAAACATCTCAACCAAACACTTTAAGAAGGACATTCAGACACAGAAAGAGAGAGAGAGAGAAACATGCGGCGTCATCTTCTGCCGCCATCTTCAACCTGGAAGACTGTGGAGATCCAAACATAACAGATCCAGACTGTGATCCAGAGCAGATTCAGACCCATGCCTATGCTGAACACCTGCTAAACCATGCAGAACTCATGTGTGTGTATGTGTGTGTTTTTGTGGCCCAAATGTCCCCACAAGTATAGCAATACCAGTCATTCTGACCTTATGGGGACATTTTCTTTAGTCTCTATGAGCACTACAGCTGATAAATCAGACAATGTTGTGAAAGTGCAGATTGTCTGCTGTTAGGGTTGGGTTTTGGTGTAAGTTTAGGCGAGGGGGATAGAAGATATGGTTTGTATAGTAGAAACATCATTGGGGAGAGCCCATAAAACATGAAAACATGAGTGTGTGTGTGCTTTGTTCCACACCATTGGAAAAGATTTCTCATATCATGTGTCTCATGCATAAGAGTCAGTAGATAGTTGTATATAATACAAGAAAAAGATCTGGAAAGTCACACAGACACACTCTAAAGCTGATTTACTCTAAACACATCTTAGAAACCAGCAACACAACAGAAACCACCTGACCACACAATAGCAATTATCTGAAATAAAACTGCATGGCAACCAAATACAGTGCACTAAAAACACAATGTACCTGAGGTGGAACAGGGAATACTAAACTAAAAAGTGCACGGATTATTAAAAAAAAAAAAAAAAAAAAAAAAAAAGATGAGAGTAAATCCTGAACACTACACACACTCAATGCTGGACAGGAGGAGCCATCGGGCACTAAGCTGAAGGGGTGGAGCAACTGGGAGTTAACTGTGTTTATAGGTATAGAGCTGTGTTAAGAGTGATGTGTATAATGGTGTTTATAGCTGTTCACAGAGCTGTGTTTATAACTGTTCTGAGAGCTGTGTTTATAGCTGTTCACAGACCTGTGTTTATAACTGTTCTGAGAGCTGTGTTTATAACTGTTCTAAGAGCTGTGTTTATAACTGTTCTGAGAGCTGTGTTTATAACTGTTTTGAGAGCTGTGTTTATAACTGTTCTGAGAGCTGTGTTTATAACTGTTCTGAGAGCTGTGTTTATTACTGTTCTGATTGCTGTGTTTATAACTGTTCTGATTGCTGTGTTTATAACTGTTCTGAGAGCTGTGTTTATAACTGTTCTGAGTGTTGTGTTTATAACTGTTCTGAGTGCAGTGTTTATAACTGTTCTGAGAGCTGTGTTTATAACTGTTCTGA